GCCCCTCGCTAGAAAGGGTTTACACTTTCGATAAATAGCGGTTTGAATCGTGGGACTAATCGGCTGACGAGCGATTGTAGGACGGGAGAATTGGCGAACAGGAGAGCGATCGTTGATCGTCGAGTTGCCAACGAAGGTCTTTTTCGGAGAACGGTACCAGGAGCGATGTGCTGTGTTTGTTGCTTGAGTTGGCATGCCACACCAGAGTGGTTTGTATCTAGAATCTTAAGATTGCGTTCGTAGGGAATGCGGATCAGAAACGCTGCAGACGTAGGACGAAACCACGTTGAGCCAAAAGACCAGAAGTGAACGTAACGACCAAGTTCGAGACCAAGCGTATGCCAAGCATTCGAAACCAATATATCGACTGAGTGCGTTGACAAGAGCATGGGTGGCCCATCCAGCTTTCTCCAAAGTTGACTGAAGTCGACGGAACCAAACGGAGATGGTCGAGGGCGTTCGCTCAGGAAACAAAAAGAAATTCAAAAAAGAGAAGAGTGTAGCATGCGTGTAGTATAGGAATAACCCTACACCGTATCAGTTGTTGGCTGTGCGGCTAGTCGAGGAAACGTACGGGCAACCGTATTCGGCGACCGAACGTGGGACGGTAGTTTCGTTCGCGTCGCGAGAACCTGCAATCTCATCCGAAGTCAATGGCGGCGTGGTCTGCTGATCTGGATGTGAGACTGTCGTCTCGTCCATTAACGGTGCAGATGACGCGTGCTGTTGACTGGGACGTGAGAATGAGGTCTCAGATGTATCTAGCGTGGGACCTGAAGATGGTTTGAGGATCCCGCTAGTAGGTTTGATAGGTCTAGCATTGAATCTCAGGTTATCAGATAGGGCACTGTCATCGACGTGTGCTTGTTTGAGACGATCAATGTTGACGATCTCGACGCGGCCATGTCGATTAACCTTGAAGGTATTTTCGTGACGAGCGATCACGTGAAAAATGGGCCTTCGTAAGGCTATCGCAAAGGTTTGCGTACCGAATCTACTCGTATGAAAACATGTGAACAGGTAGATAACTCTCGAGGGAGAGCGACCTGTCGATGTTGTTTTCGAGTTGACACCGGAGACAGCGTTCGCATAAATGCAGACAGTCGTTGGACGTAGTCTGATTTACGGAAATCGGGTCTGCTCCGTGGTGTGAAGAATTCCCCGGGCAGACGCAATGTCGTGCCGTATACAAGTTCAGTGGCGGAACATTGGATATCTGCGTTCAAGGTCGTTCTGATGCCTAAGAGAACGATCGGTAAGGTTTCGTGCCAGTTGTCGTTTTTGTGTGTTCGTAGAGCACTTTTAAGTTGGCAGTGAAACCATTCAACTTAACCATTTGGTGCTGGGTGGTAGACGGTAATGCGTATGCGTATGCATTCCGTACCAAGCAGCTGGGTCAGCTAAGACAATAGTTAATAGGGGAAAATGTCTCGAATAAAGCGTGGAATTTACCGTCACGCGAATAAAAAGTGACAGGGATTCGGTACACATACATGGGAGTATATTATATTAATACTATTCTTATCGTTATCCATCATGTTGAGTATATTATATATTAAAAGATAATATGAAAATATACGACAGACGTGGATAGATAAACTATAGACTCACCGATTGGGCTTCTTTGGAATATTCGACCAGAGGTTGAGGCGTGTTCCAGAATTCGGCTCATCAGCTGTAGCGGGGCGTCGAGTCGCGGTTGACTATGAACACCGCTACAGAGAAACACGTGCCAAATGACTCCAAAAAGATCCCCCGTGAGCCAAATATCAGAAGGCAGTTAATGGACCAAGTCGAGATATATTTGCTGGCGATCTCGTGGTATCGAAAGGATACCGAGATCGTCCCAGGATACAAGCTTGGTTACAGAACGTAACCGAATTCGCGCGAAGTCACAATCAAAGTGTAAGAATAATGGATGCTTTTTAGCACAGTTAAACAAAAGCACTGGTACAGTTGGTTATAATAATAATTGTTTTCATGAAACCAGTCTTGTTCTCGTGATAAAAGTGAGTCACTACAGAATAAATGCCATTAGATTTTCTAGAAATAATGTACAAAACAGCAAACTGTAATTCGGTGTCAACAGCAGAAACGTGTAATGAAATAACGAACTCCTAAAAGATGTAAATGAAATCGCTCTCTAAGGCATAAAACAAGGCTTCAACAGTTTTACTCTAAACACAATGTAAAATGTATCCACAGGTTCATCGTCTTTGATCCATCAAAGCTTTGAAGGTACTAGCATCTAGTATGTTCTAAATATTCTCTTGAAATTTCATAAAGTAATTGAGTAAGTCCGAACTTGATAAGTATTTTTATGATGAATACCTGATGTTAATTACTATGTGTTTTACCTACATATGTCTTCTGTTACACACTTGATCTGTTTATTTTAATGAATGACACGTGTGCGATCGATCATAGTACAAAAATGTGCTAGAATAATGCATTATAATATATCATTTACTATAGGGTATAAAGTTGTTAAAATCAATACGATAAATCAGTCAGATGAATTTCTATGGAGATATGATTAAGGGATTTCATTCATTAGGTAAACATTTTGTAGCCCTATCTATTCTAGATAGTAATGTGTTATCTCTGGTCGAGATCAACTGAGTGAATATTGAATATCAGCGAACTAACGTGAACATAACTAATGATCTTCACCAAACATTTCTTGCTTTTCCTAATGTATACTGATTTCTTCCTTACATAATGCGTAGCTATGACACAAATTCCACTCCGGATATGGTCATTTATGATAATCTGTAACTATAATGCCATAATTGTTTGTTGAAAATAAATAGTTATTGGAACACTGTATTAAAGATACATAAATTGTTAAATTAATGATTTTACTATTAATTTTAAATCTTCTGTTTACTTTCTTTTAGCAGCTTAACATAATTTCATTCCTTCTACAGGTTTTTCCAAGGAGCATCAACTGTGTTCATCTATTTGTATAAATCTTAATCACATCTTTATTCTAAGACATTAAAATGTCTTCATGTTAACAATTCCAGTTTTAACTGAATGAATCTCATACATAAGAACACTTATTTACAATGTAAGTGAAGTTTCTCCAATAGTCAAACTTATTGTCTGTTAATCACAAATAGGATTCAATCGACGTCACATTAATGAGGCTTTTATTCAGGCTGTTTTCAGCATTTTGTCATCTGAAGATCAAAATTAGCTGCATCAGTATCTAGAGAAAATGAATTAGTCAACTGTTTATCAGAACTATGAGATGTATCAGTGGAATACGTTTAAAAGAATCTGATGAAATTTTTCTTCTCATCGGATCTAAATTAATGACAAGAACTAACTGCTTTACAGTAAACTATGTTATCAACACTTTCAAATAGTAGTAGTGTAAGTAGTAACAGGACTACAGAGAATGAATCTACACCATTGTGTACGATTTTGAGCCAAGACACTCAATGTCCCCAACCATTGGTATAATAATCACGCGAACTTGACATACATTAAGTGCACCTACTTACACAGCTCAGTCCAAAAATAACTTCGCTCAAAATACACTTATGCCAAGAGAGACTGGTCGATCGCAGTTTGATGACCAACAACTGGGAATTACAAACATTTATTAACAATGAATTACTTACACTTGTTACTCCCCATGAAGACATAGGCAGCCGACTAGGAATCTTCAACATGATTTGTTCTGGGCTCTTCTTTCCAACCGCTGAGAAGTCCTATTTATTCTTTTGATGCCTGACTATTTCCGTTGCTAAGAAAGCTCATAATATCTGCTGTTAATAAATTTATGGTACTATTATTATTGCATTTGCAACCGATTTCCTGTCTGAATATTTCGCTAAGAATATCAACTGAAATATTCAATTCGCACACTCATTAATTGTTGTCAGTACGAATAACAGCAGTCATCAAGCTTAATCAACAATCGATAAAGTTTTTAGCCCCTAGTGTTATGCAATTAATTGCTCTAAAATTAATTAATCCGATGTAAGAGATGGTTGAAAAGAGTTTGAACTCAATCACATTTTCCGAGAGATTTCATTCCCATCTCACTAAACATATTGCTTCAGTAAGCCGAATTTTGAAGGTAAACAAATTACCAAAGCAATCATACCATACAATAATGCAAAAACCACTGTTTGTTTAACATCACATTGATCACTACTTATCAAATGTTTAACCATACACTCAATCAGTTAGATAGTCATTATGTCTTTTGAAATTTATTCGATTAGGGTTTCGATATTGGCTCCATGAGTATAATTGTCACTCCAATCATTTTAGTAAATTCTATTAAATTAATAACAGCACTCCCTGTCACATCATAATGACTCAGTGCAAGTGAACGAAAGTGAATACACGAAAACAATGTGAGTAATGTATCTAACAGTAACCCTTTACATAAAACAAGTTTAAACATGAGATGTATATAGTAAACATTTATTGGGTGTAATTTGACATTGATTAGAAGAGTTTATAAATAAAAATACTTATATCAATAATAATAACAGTAATAATAATAATAACCATTTAGTGAATAAACAAGTAAATAAATAGTGACATAGATATACATATTGAAAGAGATTAAAAAACTGTAATCATATTTGATCCAAGTCCGAATAAGTTAACTCATAAAAATCGATATCATCAAAAACTGGTAGAAGTTTTCAATAGTGAACAATAGATTGTTTTTTCTTTTCAAAAGAAAAGAAAATTCATTGAGAAAAGGAATAAATCAAGCAAGAAAACAAAATGGAAAGGAAGAGTAAAGTTTGTTTCTTATATAAAAAAAACATGCAATAATCGATTGTAGATAAACAGAAATAAATTCGACAATCTATGTATTTCGAAAGAATAATAACATATCACCGAATTTTGTATGAATTATTGCACAACCAAAGAAGATTAGCACAACCATATGAGGAATAGATAAATAAAGCTTGGAATGATTTATCTAAATATGTGTATGGATAAATACATAGATAAGTAATTGGATACAACAAGTGTATTCATCTTCTCCATCTACTTCTTTATTCAAATATTTTTTATCAGATTCAAATGTAAATAAAAAGTGAATGGACTATTGTGCTTTAAAATTACTATTTCCTATATATATATATATATATATATATATATATATATATATATATATGAGAAGAATTTCATCACAACCAAGAATAGTATAAATGCATAAAAATGAAAATATTTTAAGATTTCTTTGTGTCCCATACTTTGTGGAAACTCTCCATAAATGAATCATAAATCATGAAACTGATACAAACATCTAAACAGACACGACCTAGTCTAGGTACAGTACCTTTATAGAAACTGTAAACAGAAAAAAAATATAAGTATGCAATAAGAAAATGTATATTAAGCGAGAATACAAAGAAATAAATTAAAATGTAAGAAATACTTGTCGTTCACTCCAAAAGTTTATTAAACATGCATGAAAATAACAAAATTATTACAATTAATTCATCTATTAATGATAAATAATGAGTTGGAACCGGTTAAGTACATGTTCCCGTGAAGACATACTCGTTTTTATACCATGATTATAATTATTATTACAGAGGGTTTTTCTCGTAATAATACATACATATAAAGTGGAAGGACAATATGCACAGGTCTATTCAAATATTCTTTGAGATATCTGGGGTTTTAAACATTCACACTGAAATCCTCTTATTTTAAGTTACACAAATGTTAGTCAATATTTAAACGAATAGTTTGGCAGAAATCGAGTACCGAGTACATGGAAAACAGCATTTGAGCAAAATTAAATTTGAAATAATTTCAATAATCGCAATGTAAATGATTCCAACGTTTCATTCAGAAATCTTGTCTGAACGTCTTCAGTGTAACAGTTAAAATCAAAATTATGAAAGAATATTTAACGCTTAAATATAGAATCAAATCTACACTAATTGCTTATCCAGTCATATTTAGAAACTGGCTTTAGTGATTACGATCAAATAAGTATTCTGAAGCGAAAAAATACTTCAGAAAGGGTTTGGCACGAACAAAGATAGGTTGACAGCAGAAGCACTGTATAATCAGAATATCTTGAACAGGAGAGATGGTATCCAAGTAGTCCCACTGTTGACAAATTATCATTCATAAGTAACTGAACCTTATGTATATCCACCCTATTTGTGTCACATCCAGCACAGTTCCGACCAAAATTAATTTGAATATTTGAAAATCCCACCTATGTATTTGATGATAATAAATATAATTTCGTTATATCCCAATGGGTATAAAAATTGTATTTCTGGTGTTTCGTGACTTAATTTAAGCCACTTCATTAGAGCAAATAAATAGCTGGATTCGGTTATTTATTTGCACTGAAGAAATGGTTTACATCAGAAATACAATTTTTCTATCCATTGGGATATAACAAAGATATATTTATTATTAACTTTTTACCCAATGCTCAATTTATTTGTAATTATCAAGCCTGACCTTGGAATTGATATCTATGTATTTGGTGATTTCCATTTTGCATACACATCGAAGTATTGGAAACATTTTCAATATGCACTTTTATTATTACTTTCAATAAACAAATGATTAGAATTAGTTCACCGGATATTAACTATTATTAGTCCAAAGTTACACAAACATTTATTTTCACATTGTGAACTTTTCACATGATTCAAATCTCACTGACTCATGCTGTCTTATTTACTAATGTTGACCTTTGAATATGATTAAATAAGCAATTAGTGTAGATTTGATTCTATATTTAAGCGTTAAATATTCTTTCATCATTTTGATTTTGACTGTTACACTGAAGAAGTCCAAACAAGATTTCTGAACGAAATGTTGGAATGACTATTTCAAATCTAGTTTTACATAAATATTGTTATATCCGAGCGAAGATTAAATCACGAGTAACTTCTGAGATATATTAATTGACTAATATTATCTATACATTCTTATGGTATAACTATTCAATAATTAGATTATGTATATTTATATTCCTCTTATTATAAGCTTTATTTTGACCTATAATTTATTATTGTACGATTTATTGTTCTTAATCTATGTTCAGTTTATTGACTACTGCCTCCCACGTTCACATTCACTTTTTGGCTTTATTGTGTACAAATGTTATTTCCTATTTTATGGTGCGTCGCGGTCTGTTTGGTTGATATATAAACCCAGTATGTCTGAAATAAATGATTCGATTCGATTCACATATTGGGAGCTGGTATAGTTGTTCTGGACTCAAGTGGACGGACTAGGCGGACATAGGACCAATAAGGACACTAGGCTGCTCTCATACCGGTCGAACGTCATTGGTTTGGCACAGTGCAAAGATTGTATGTCGTATTCTGATTGGTGGATAGATCACGTGACAAAAAGCCGGACACAACTCGTTTAATTATTCCTGATCATTATTTAACCACTTTTAACACTGATTTTTCAGGAATTTTTAAATTAAACTAATAAATTTCAAGATTATTATTGTTTCAATTGATGAAATCCAAAAGACAAGCTTTAAATAAACTCAGTAAATAACATGAGGATTATATCTTAAGAAAAAATTCGGTAGGATTTGTTATTAGGTCTTTCTTTGTAATAGGCGTTTTGGCAAGTAGTATCTTTTGAAATATAAACAGGATCTTCATTAGTGATGAGTCGATCATATTACCATGTTTTCAGAAATACACTATATGTTCAAAATCATACTAGTTCAATATTTCCAAGTCACTTTAAATAAACTCATAACTTTTGATGTTCATTAACACTGGTTAGAAATTGTTGTCAGGAAAAAACAGATTACTTAGGTTATATTGTGTTTCATGTACTAAGGCAGTAAGGCGAGAAGCGGATGTGTGACCTCTTTATCTCTCTAGTCAGTTCATCGACCCATAATGCCAGTAGGACCAGTGACCTGACACATAGACCAATGGACAATAACCAAAACCTTGACTCCAATTGGTCTTTAAGCTCTTTCTAACCTAGTGCTTAATCACAAGACAAAGATCAAAAGGAGATCAATTATCTATTGTATTTTATTTCAATCATGATACAAAACATACATTAATATGACTGAAATGTTTGGCCACATGGTAACGCGACTTAGGAATTACAGTGTGCACGTAACTTATTCAGAGGTGATTCAAAACCAGAGTAAAACAGGAATAATTGATCAAAATGGTAGATGGAAGTAGTTAATAGAAAATCCTGAGCCCATGTTTCGTTTTATTTGACACTCGTCAGCAACGTGTACCAGTTCCCTGAAAATTGTAGTTACACTTTGCTGACAACTGCCAAATAACACGACGCCTAGGTCCAGGGTTTCCTATAGACTACCTTCAGTCACCATTTCACATTTCAATAAAGTGCACGCGATGTCGGGTCAGTTAGGCTAACGGCCATATTTCAATATGATCGATAGCATTCTATCAGCACGAACAAGGACTTGATATGCGTGACATTGGTCATTACTCAGTGATTCATCAACTGTAAATAATTAATGGTAAATTTGGAACAATAGGACTATAGCAATTCTCCTAAAATCGATTTCGATTATGATTAAATTTTGTTCAGCCGTTTTATTAACTTGCTTGACAGACAATGGTATTCGAACAGTAATAATTAGTATTTTTCTTTGTACTATTATAATCGCTTACGCCTGTTTTCCGTCACAGAGGAGTATAGGTCGCTCGCCAGCAGGATTCAACATCTTTTGGAGTTTCGCCATCAAATATGTATTTTAAGACCTACTGATGCAGAGGCTGCTGCAACACTAGTTGTCTTCATCTGAATTTGTTGGTGTGTATGGGATAGGAGGGTTAAGTCATATGCGAAGTCCAAATCTTCTAACTGAATTCGAGCTGTCCATTGTATTCCATACTTTCCCTCGGATGTCGAGGTCTTCGTAATCCAGTCGACCAATAAGAGAGAGAGAAGAGGAAAGAGTAGGCAGTCTTGTCTAAATCCTCTCCTTACTTGGAATGCGTCTGCCGGTTGCCCTCCACGTACGACTTTGCACTGTAGTCCGTCGTATGAATTCCGTATGGTGTTGACGATTTTTTTAGGTACCCCAGTGTCCTTGAAGTTTCCATAATGTTCTCCTATCCACAATGTCAAATGCTTCCTCATAATCAAGGGAGTTGAAGTATAGTGAAGATTCAGTGGTGTTGGTCTATTCAACATTTCCTTGAAGTGTTCCACCCATCTGTTCCTCTGTCCTTGAAGTTCAGTGATTGGCTTGCCTTCTTTGTCCTTGATCGGTCTCTCTGGTTTATATTTCCTTGCCAGTTTCTTTGTTGGTTGTTTCATATTTCCTTCTCTTACAGATTTTTCCGCTGTCATTGCTTGTCACTGCTTGTCAGCTCTACTACTCTTCTTCGCTTGCTTGTTTACTTCTGTGTATTCAGATTATGCCTTGACATTCTCTGCTCTTGTTCGGCTGTTGTTAGTTGTTGTTTTCTTGTTCTTCCTTTCTTGAATCTTGATCAGAGTTTCGATAGAGATCCATTTTTTATGATGATGTTTCTTGCAGTCAAGCATCTCCTGACACCTTAACCTTAGTGCTTCTTTGATCCCTTTCCAGCTGTCTTTCATGGTTATTTCTTAATCTTTCAGTAGATCCTGTAAGGCTGGAATCTGTTGATGAGAGTTATCTTGAATTCATTGAGTTTGTCAGTATCTCAAAGGGAGGCTGCGTTAAACATTCGTAATTTTGTTTTTATAATTGTCCAGTGTTTCTATAGCATCAGTTTCATCTTGGCCCCAGTCAGATGCTGATCTGAACCTATGTCTTCCTCTCTTGGTTCTAATGTCTTCCAATGACCTAAATCTATTACTGGTGCAAATACGATCTATCTGGTTCTCCGTGGTGCGGTCCGGTGAGATCCATGCAAATTTGTGTATGCGTTTGTGTGGGAATAATAAGTCGCCTATAACCAATTAGTTGAATAAACATAGATTTGCAAATCTGTCACCAATTTCATATCTTTCTCCCAGTCAGTCCTTGTCGTCCCACGATATCTTCATAACCGTTGTCCATTCCGATTTTGGCGTTTAGATCTCCCATCAGAATTGCCAGGTCCCTTGATAGGGATTTCGTTATGTTCGATTGCAGGCTTTCGTAGAACTGATCTTCATCGTCGTCGTTGCTATCATTGGTGGGTACATAACATCGGATAACATTCATTGTGATTCCCTCCTTCTTTGTTTTGAAGGATGCTTTAATGATCCTGGATCTATGAGGTTCCCATCATATGTGCATGTTTGGACAGTATAAGAGCAACTCCCTGAGTGTGAAGAGCATTTTCCTCTACGTGGACGGAGTACAGCAGAATTTATCCTGTACTTAACCTTTGCTGTCCAGTTTGGGTCCAGTGGGTTTCGCTGATTCCTAGCACCGCCAAGTTGTATCCCCTCATTTCTATTGCTATTTGACTTGTCCTCCCGGTCACTCACACTGTCAGGACATTCCAAGTACCTATAGAAATTGTTGCTATAGTTGCTAGAACGGGAATCAGTCTCATGAATTCCGAAGAATCTCGGATTTCATCATGAGGCGTTATAATTATTCCTTCAGCAAGTTTGTTGCCAATAAAACATTTGATTGGAAGTCAACTCGATGTAACCAATAAGCCAATTGACCGCGATTGGAAATGGAAGTGTCATTTCAGATAGCAACGGGTTTCATCTTGTCAGACGATTACAATATATTACAGTAAATGTATAACTAATCTTCAGTAGTTGAATTCATGGGTCGATTTAAGCTAAACCACCATTGAAGACCTGGAAGCACTGGACGGCCGATTCGTCTCAGTATGGAACTCCTCTGCAGTGCGCATACACGGTCGTGCATTCGGGACTCTATTCCAAAACCTACAAGACTCGCGCACAAATGCTTGACCTCTAGACCACTGAGCCGGCATCCCATATTGTTAATGTCTAACTTCAATCGATCCGTGATCTTGTGCAACCATTCATTCATTGTCTGAGGTAGATACCTGTTTCTAATCGTCCAGTTCGTTCGTTCAAATATTGTCAGATAGAATTATTTTAAATTGAAATACCCGTTTATCAATAAATAAACTTACGCAAAAAAGCCTTCTTCAGTCCATATTTTCCAAGCGCAATGAAGTGTATTTTTATACTTATGTGCATCAAGGCCCTATGTAAAAAAACCAGGAATTTTGGTAATTAAGCTATTTTGGACTGAATTAAATGGGAACAACAATAACATATTTCAATATTAATTATTCAGAAAAGTTTAACTCCTTAAACATACTTTCAATTCAAAGAAACAAAACGCTAGTGTGATATTTTGTAAACATAAAATACTCGAAGTAAATGAAAGATATTCGACTGCCTATGGAAGGTCAAGTATTCTGAAGAGCAGTTATCGCTGTATTAATTTACATATGAAGGACATGATCTTTGGAATCAATTACCATGAGCAAGTAACTCATAATAGACAATAAACGCTTTGAAGTAGTAGTTTTCTAATGTATAGTCATCATAACCTAAAGTAACATGGCAAATAACATGGGTTTGTGAATTCACTAACAGTTTATCTCAAGAAGGTGCAGAACCTGGGGTTGGGGTAAATCCAAACAACTTCAATCAGTGGTTGGAGACTTGAGACGATATTTTTCAAAATAAGTGTCAATGGAGCAGATGCCCTATTACATAAATATCATCACCCTCAATATTTTTCTTCATGTTATAAGGTGATAATTATTACTCCTTGAACTGAGACCTATTTTTACCTGGTCCTAAGTTATTTGTCCTTTCTGAATTTTGATAAATTAAAAAACAACTGACGAATAATCAGGAAGAAGTAACTTGGCGACATTTTTGTCATTTTTAAGCAACATATTTGAAAATGTACACAGCATATCGGATTGCACTGAGCCAACAGATGGGATCTATTGACTACAAGCTAGCGTTTTTCAACCGTTTGATTGAAAAAGGTCTAATTAAACGATAAAAGCTATCGTTTTCTGGAAATCAACAAATTCTTAGAGATAATTAGGCTAACAATGAGGACATATTTGTTCTACGAAGGTTATAGATGTGAAAATTTTAAACAACAGTTGTAATCTTATTAACGACAGGGAAGGTCAACAGATTGGAATTAAGAAAATTCTAAATAAACAAAAGACTTTATTTCTTGGTCAGTCGTACGATATGATGAGGTCTAGTTAAAGACAAAGATAGGTTATTAAAAGAAGAGCAACAGGATGTTGTATATGAAATTAAATATCATGCGGTAGAAACATCTGAACGACTGAATATGATATTGAAGAAACACAACAATGTTTGAAATAGGTTTCTAAGTCGTCGGTTGATCTCAAGAAACTTAAGAGTAAATCCATAATTGCGCTATATTTATCAGAAACAGACAACAAAATTAACTTCAAGAGGATTAAAGTTCTTCAGAAAGGGTTTGGTATCCACAAATAAAAGACTGACAAAAGAAGCGCTGTATATATTGAGTAATAGGGACATCTTGAACAGAAATGATGGAACACAACTAGCTACGTCTTGGCAACCACATATCAGAAAGTAATTTGGACTTTATCTCTACAACCCTGTTTGTATCACACATAGCTTTGTTTTATAAAAAAGTTAATTCTAATCATATGTGAAAGTCATATTTGAGATAATCTCAGCGACTGAAATTTAAATAATCCCAACGTTTCGTCCAGCTAACTTGTCTGGACTTCTTCAGAGCAATAGTCAAAATCAAAATCATCAAATGAATATACAGTCTTTTAACAACCAAATCAGATTAAATGCAAATTATGTTAATCAAATCATATTTGGATGTTGATTTTAGTAAATAAGATAACATGAGTCAGAAGCGCTGTTCATATTGGCGAACAAGAACAAGCTGAACCGAAAGGATGGTATTCAACTACCGATTACTTGGCAAATATTCGTTGACAAATAATTGGACCCTTTCTTTATTCAGCCTGTTTATTTCACATGCATCGTTAGTTAGAAATTAATATGAGTTATATTTAGCAATACAATTATATATTTGATGATTCTCATTTTTATTTGTACTTCTATGATTCAGACTTATTATCCTGAGTGATTAGGTTTCAAATTGTGTTCACATTATTATCATTACTCTTATCATTATCCTTATAGCCTCTTACCCCGTTTCCAGTCTAGTTGACCTTTTATTTCTATATATAAATGCTCTTAACAAGTATATGTGTGATCAGATTGTTCGAAATGTTCGAAATGCGCTAATATATCACATAAGTCTGATAGTCTTCGTCTTCTAATTACATTATCGAGATTCAGAAACAATTTTTCAACCTTCAACTTGTACTTTTATTTTCCTTCATATAAAAACATATTAACAACGAATATCATTCAGTAGTTTAAAAATCCCCATAGAATATTCAAAAACGAAGAATATTTGAGCGAACAATTGTTTTCAATAACTTCATCATCAGGCTCTACAGTTATAAGTCCATAATTATAATATTTTACAAAGGCCAAGAATAAGGCATGTATTAATGAATTTGACAATGTTATGTGTTAAAAATGGTGAACGTTTGCATCTGTTACGATATATATATATACTTCAAAAAATTGTAATATTTGCAAATTAGAAAGGTCATTCAATAAAGGTCAGTAAATTGTTCAGTCACAATAAGATAATATAATAGTACTATTGCAAAATTGAAAATAATTTTGTCAACTGAGATAATAATAATAATAATGTTGTGTGAATATAATATGTAATAAGGGGGGTGTTATCAAGGTAATTACGGTCAACAAATTGGGAATGATGGATATGAAGATTAAGATATAGATAATGACAAATAATGATAATAAGGAAAATAAATAAAAATGAAGGAAGGAAGGAGTAAGAGGTTTATAATATTCAGTCTAGGTATTTGGTGATCTAGTCGTAGGCCAGGGTAAACATAGAGGCTGGATATATTTTTTCTGGATGCATAAGTTAGGTTTTCTGGAGTTGATCCAGATGGCTTCGGCTGTGTAAAGCAGTCGTAATCTAGCTCCTTGAGGTAGATATTTTGGAACTTGATATAAAACAGAGAAAGCTTCCTCTATTTTAATATGATGTTCACTATCTACCAAGTGAGAAAGAATGGTGCTGTTAATCGATTTGGTGACTCCTTTTCCCAACCATGCTGGTACATGTTCACGGACACGCAAGGATAAAGCCCTCTGAGTACGGCCTATGTAACTAGCTCCACAGGAGCAGTTGAATTGGTATACACACATGGAGGAGCCCATCTTCGGTAGCTTATCCTTGATTAGTTGTGTGAGTACTGGTTTAGTCGAGAAAGTTATGTGTAACTTGGCGGCATGAAACGTCCTCTCGACAGATCTTTTGAGTCGACGTGTTAGAATATCACCCGCTATGTCGCCTTTAAAGTCAAGTTTCAGATATAAGGTCTTCTTACTGACCGTGTCACAATGTCTTCTCTTTTTAATACTTTGGACGAGGTATTTTTTGACGAAATTATCCGGATAGCCATTATTACGTAATGTGTTCTTTAGTATAACTATTTCTTCCTCCACACTGTCTTCAGAACATAATACCTTGATTCTGTGGTTAAGACACTTAACCAAATTTATTTTATATTGCAGGGGTGTGAAGCTTTGGAAATGGGTATACTGACCCGTCCATGTACACTTTCTAAACATATTTCGCTTTATGGAACCATCTATCCTTCTAGAGAGTCGGACATCTAGAAAAGCTATGCTATTGTCCTTTTCCTCCTCGCTGGTGAATTTAATGGCTGGGTGGACATTATTGAAAGCGTCTAACATCTCCTGTTTGTCGATATTTTCGTCACATATGATTAATGTGTCATCTATGTATCGACAGTAATAATCAAGCTTATTTAGGATGTCTTTAAGCGGTCCATTTTCTAGTTTGGCTAGAAAAATATTAGCAAGGATCGGACCTAGAGGTGATCCCATTGCTACCCCATCTACTTGTCGGAAAAATTCATTGTTAAACTTAAAGTAGATATTCATAGTGCATTTCAAGAGAAGTTCTTTCATTTTGTTTATTGGGATAGGAATCTCTATTTTCTTTTCTATCAGTTGTTCACATATGTAATCTATAGTTTCAGTCAGAGGGATGTTAGTGAACAAAGATGTTATGTCTAGTGATAGCATGGTTTTTCCATTTATATTCATATTTTTAATTGTATCAACAAATTCAAAGACGTCTTTAACATTATGCTTAGCAAGTTCTTGGTGCAATGGTTCTAATAACTTAACTAACCATTTTGCTGTTGAATGGTATGGTGAATTTGCCATATCCAGTATCGGGCGTAGAGGAATATCAGGTTTATGGATCTTAGGTAGACCATATAGTCGAGGGGTATGTGTTCCAGAAGGCTTAAGCATATTATAGGTATGCTCAGAGATGTGTTGGTGTTGATTTAGGAATTTTAATGCTGCAGTTAGTTGACGTTCGGTCTTTTCATTGAGGTCTTTACATGACCCAAGCTTTTGGAATTTAGTTTGATCACTCAGTAGTGAATTCATCTTATCTATGTAGTCTGTCTTGTTTAGAATTACCGTGCCCGATCCTTTATCAGGTTTAGTGATAAGAATGTGTTCATTCAACTTAAGTTTTCGGATGGCCTCACGATGTTTATCTGTCAATATACTGTTTGTGTAGTGCTTATTACTTTTAAATTGGTTACAGCAATCAACCAGCGTGGTTTTGAATCGTTCATGTTCGACCTTTGTCGTGGGTTTTAAGTCTTGTGTCTGGGTAAATAGATTTTCGAACTGAACATCAGTCTTCAAATGATCCACATGTCTACGACTATCACAAAACTTAGGACCTAATGATAACACTTCTAGTTGAGTCCTATCAAGATTAACAGAGGAAAAGTTGAAAACATACTGCTTACAGTCGTCTGGAAAATCCGGTTTAAAGATCTGTTTGTCTAGTCCTTTGATTAGGTCGATTCATTTTTTGTTCTCCCTCGTTCTTTACACTTCAAGGACATAAGTCATAAACGAATCCTTTAAGTTTGGGGGAAGGTCTTCAACAGAATATAATCTCTGTGTAATATTCCTTTCTAATTCAACAATATACGTTTGAAGAGATTCGATTTGGCTAAGTGCATATCTCTTGAGCGACTTAATGTTAGGTTTAATTTTACATCGACGTAAGGATTTGCAATAGACTTTCGGATATCGGTGTGTAACAGTGCAATTACGGATAAAATCCAAATTAGTTTTCGCTTCCGTGAGTTTCGCACTGTACTTCAGGAACTCATTGAGTCCCTTCAGTGCAACTGGGTGCTCACTAGATTTCAGCAGTTTAAAAATCCCCATAGAATATTCAAAAACGAAGAATATTTGAGCGAACAATTGTTTTCAATAACTTCATCATCAGGCTCTACAGTTATAAGTCCATAATTATAATATTTTACAAAGGCCAAGAATAAGGCATGTATTAATGAATTTGACAATGTTATGTGTTAAAAATGGTGAACGTTTGCATCTGTTACGATATATATATATACTTCAAAAAATTGTAATATTTGCAAATTAGAAAGGTCATTCAATAAAGGTCAGTAAATTGTTCAGTCACAATAAGATAATATAATAGTACTATTGCAAAATTGAAAATAATTTTGTCAACTGAGATAATAATAATAATAATGTTGTGTGAATATAATATGTAATAAGGGGGGTGTTATCAAGGTAATTACGGTCAACAAATTGGGAATGATGGATATGAAGATTAAGATATAGATAATGACAAATAATGATAATAAGGAAAATAAATAAAAATGAAGGAAGGAAGGAGTAAGAGGTTTATAATATTCAGTCTAGGTATTTGGTGATCTAGTCGTAGGCCAGGGTAAACATAGAGGCTGGATATATTTTTTCTGGATGCATAAGTTAGGTTTTCTGGAGTTGATCCAGATGGCTTCGGCTGTGTAAAGCAGTCGTAATCTAGCTCCTTGAGGTAGATATTTTGGAACTTGATATAAAACAGAGAAAGCTTCCTCTATTTTAATATGATGTTCACTATCTACCAAGTGAGAAAGAATGGTGCTGTTAATCGATTTGGTGACTCCTTTTCCCAACCATGCTGGTACATGTTCACGGACACGCAAGGATAAAGCCCTCTGAGTACGGCCTATGTAACTAGCTCCACAGGAGCAGTTGAATTGGTATACACACATGGAGGAGCCCATCTTCGGTAGCTTATCCTTGATTAGTTGTGTGAGTACTGGTTTAGTCGAGAAAGTTATGTGTAACTTGGCGGCATGAAACGTCCTCTCGACAGATCTTTTGAGTCGACGTGTTAGAATATCACCCGCTATGTCGCCTTTAAAGTCAAGTTTCAGATATAAGGTCTTCTTACTGACCGTGTCACAATGTCTTCTCTTTTTAATACTTTGGACGAGGTATTTTTTGACGAAATTATCCGGATAGCCATTATTACGTAATGTGTTCTTTAGTATAACTATTTCTTCCTCCACACTGTCTTCAGAACATAATACCTTGATTCTGTGGTTAAGACACTTAACCAAATTTATTTTATATTGCAGGGGTGTGAAGCTTTGGAAATGGGTATACTGACCCGTCCATGTACACTTTCTAAACATATTTCGCTTTATGGAACCATCTATCCTTCTAGAGAGTCGGACATCTAGAAAAGCTATGCTATTGTCCTTTTCCTCCTCGCTGGTGAATTTAATGGCTGGGTGGACATTATTGAAAGCGTCTAACATCTCCTGTTTGTCGATATTTTCGTCACATATGATTAATGTGTCATCTATGTATCGACAGTAATAATCAAGCTTATTTAGGATGTCTTTAAGCGGTCCATTTTCTAGTTTGGCTAGAAAAATATTAGCAAGGATCGGACCTAGAGGTGATCCCATTGCTACCCCATCTACTTGTCGGAAAAATTCATTGTTAAACTTAAAGTAGATATTCATAGTGCATTTCAAGAGAAGTTCTTTCATTTTGTTTATTGGGATAGGAATCTCTATTTTCTTTTCTATCAGTTGTTCACATATGTAATCTATAGTTTCAGTCAGAGGGATGTTAGTGAACAAAGATGTTATGTCTAGTGATAGCATGGTTTTTCCATTTATATTCATACATATTATATTCACACAACATTATTATTATTATTATCTCAGTTGACAAAATTATTTTCAATTTTGCAATAGTACTATTATATTATCTTATTGTGACTGAACAATTTACTGACCTTTATTGAATGACCTTTCTAATTTGCAAATATTACAATTTTTTGAAGTATATATATATATCGTAACAGATGCAAACGTTCACCATTTTTAACACATAACATTGTCAAATTCATTAATACATGCCTTATTCTTGGCCTTTGTAAAATATTATAATTATGGACTTATAACTGTAGAGCCTGATGATGAAGTTATTGAAAACAATTGTTCGCTCAAATATTCTTCGTTTTTGAATATCATTCAGTAATATCTCAATCTTACATGTACACACAAACAATTAGTTCAGTCATTTATTTTTCACATGTTTCGCATTTCACTGACGAAACGATGGAATTATTTAAATTTCAATCGCTAAGATTATTCCAAATATAATTTCCACATTTAATAACTTTTAATGGATAAAATGATGAAAGTGTTTTTGGCAGAAAACAAACTGCTTATAATAATGAAATCATTAATAAAATACAATTAAACCGATATATACTTTCATCCATTTCCAATTTTCACAGCTTACTGACTAATATTTTCCCACTTAACGGCACAGACAAATAAATATGTTAAGATTAGATTCTAGAATAGACATGTCTGCAAACATTACATGCTTTCTTTATAATTTTAACTTTCATAATTACCCGGAAGAAATCCAGACAAGAATGATAGACGAAACGTAGGAACTATCAATATTTTTATCGATGATTTCATTCTATTTTAGATAGTTATATGAACGAAGAATGCTCTTTCTAGTAATTTCTCATGAGGTCTTACAACTATAAATCCAAATTAGTAATCCATAAAATTGGCCAGTTTTAAGGTAGAGTACATCATTTAAAATTGTAATATATGAATCAAGAGTTGTTGTTTGTCATATAAAATAAAATTGTTAATGTTAGCATGACTAATACGAAGTGGATGGTGGATGCGCATTACTGAGGAGTCTGATACTAGGAAGAAACGGCCGTCCAGTGCTTCCAGGTTTTCCATGGATTATTAATTTGGATATATAATTGTTTTAATATGATTGGAATTGTTAATCTTTTATTCATGTTTCAACAGTCCGCTGCTATTTTGGCTTATTTTAGTGTTGCAAAAGCGTTTTAATCTCAAAGTCTTCACTAGAAAATTGGACTAAAACTGTCTAGACTGGATCATGCATACCAATAAGTCTATTATGCATTTTGAGGGAGAAAACGGGACTTTTGACAATGGAGAGACAGACGTTATACATGACGACATAACTTAGGAGTTGAATTTGTAATAGTGTGTTTGATAGTATACTGTAGTCGTGTTAGACAGTTGGTAAAGATTAGTAGGAAGCTCTCGAAGCCAACCTTTATGTTAGTTATCTAACGGTAAGTATAGATATGGATACGCTTGATCTAGAGTATAGATCAAACTTACTACGATGTGGCTGACAAGATAATTTTCAACAATCTGATGTTGTAAGCGTAGACCACGATATCGGCATACTTAACCAAGTAGCTATTATGGGAGCGTGATCTACAAATCATGATCAGCACTGAATATTAGTTGATTGTAGCTGATAAATATTGTGATAAAAGTACACTTACTTGCATTCGAGTTTTGACAACATCCAGAGGCGTGTTTCCATAGACGGATGCTGCACCAGCAATAATCCCAAATAATCCAGTTAGTAATTTTGGGACAGGTAGTCCAGTAGTTTTGTCACCTCGATACTGTCGATAACCATCCTTCAAAGTTTCCATTACAAAGAAACGAATGGCTTGATTACTTCCTTGTTTCAGAATTGTCGGTGTTACACCTTTGTACATACCAGTAATCCCTACAACATGAAAAGAAAACTAATGAAGATTTGATCATTTACTCAGTCCCATATGACTCAACATAATTTCTTGAAATTTAAACGGAAAACAGAACTGATTAAGCCGGCACTGATGCCGGCTCAGAGGTCTAATGGTTAGGCGCTCGCGCGCGAAACTGACGGGTCCTGGGTTCAAATCTCGCGGGGGGCGGGATCGTGGATGAGCACTGATGAGGAGCTCCATACTGGGACGAAACGGTCATCCAGTGCTTCCAGGTTTTCCATGATGGTCTAGCTTCAGTTAACTCATGATTCCAACTATTGAAATAATAATCTACTGACAATGATGGAACAAATATTTATAAAATTATTAGAATGACTAATGCACTGAAACTAATAATTTCTTTGACTATCTTTGCTCACAATCCTAATTGAGCGGAAACACTGATCGATTTTCTAAATACATCGTACAAATGGAGCCATGAGTTATGTATCAGATAATAAACAATGAGGTAAATGATGTTCACAAAACGGCTAGTTTATGTTGGATGTTTGCCTACTGTATTACCCACCATGATCAGTACAGGTGCATTAAGAAACGACGATATGAATTCAACAAATATGTATCACTTATAGACTAGACCATATTGAACGTATTAATAAGATAATCAGGAGAGTTATGAAATTTCAAATTGATTGATCAGCTTACATTCAAACATGAAAGCAACTCCATACACATGGAAAGAAAGACATGTCTGTGGGTATTCTCGAGAATGTTTCATGGAATCTACATCTCTGGCACTAAACTCATAAAGTAGTGGGATAGCCTATCAGATGTTGGATACAGCATCAAGATTAGAAGTTATGTAGAGGCAAAAAAACTTTCTTTGTGTTATATCCCGATAAGAATAATGAATGGTAATTTTTAGGATGCATTTATGGATCAGTACTATGAGTATATTTTATCGTGTAATTGTTATGTAACTAAACTGTTCATATTCATGTCCTTCTTATTATGAGTTTTATTTTGACCTATGAACTATTCTTGTACGGTTTACCATTCTTGGATTATTCCCTGTCTGTTAATCACTACCTCCCTCATTCACAGCCACTTTTGGCCAAATATTGTACAAATGTTATTTTTTATTTTATGCCACGTTGTGGTCTGTTTGATTGGTATATAAACCCCGTATGTTTGAAATAAATGATTCATATTGCAGAGATTGATGTTCTGGACTTAACTGGCTGGGCTAGACAGGAAGTGAGACCAATCAGGACTTTTGGCTGCTCGCGTGTGTTTTATGCGTCAGTGGTTGGATCGATAACTCGCTGCTCTCTGATTGGCGGTATCGTTGCGCTAATCCAATATACAGGGTACACAGGTTCACAAGTTACAACACTTTGCTTCATTTAGCTTGCCTTATTGACTCAACGCGTGCATTACTGTACTTTAATATTCAATAATTTTCAATTCTTCGTTTGACCTGTAGATAGTTGTCACATATCTTATTGTAATTCATTGGTCGATGTGTCAATTGGTAGGTAGAAGGTCATCTGTTCTAATGGTAATATAGCTGAACTGATCAGTAATCGGATTAGAGAAAGAGAGCGAGAGGTCATACAACTGCTTTCCTGTCATTACGGCTCGATCTTAAAACATCCAATACAACCCAAGTAATCTATTTTTCAGATATAATAATGATACAATGGGTTTCAAAACATACCTTTCTTTTATTTACTTAACATGGAACGTTAATTAGACAAATGTGAAAACATAACATGACAACACTTCCATCATATTGCCAGTCTTTGGAAAATTAAACACGATATTAAAAAATAACGGTAAATTTGTTTTCTCACTTATGTCACAGATTAGGGTATATTTCTTCTACTGTAATATAATTCTCACAAAATCACCAAAAAATATAAGTAAAGTTTCAATTGATTTCTCGGTAGAAAAAAAAACTTATCAATTACGTATTCACGGAATGTGATATGACTTTTAATGGAGCAATTTATTACCGCGACATTTACAAACTTCGTCATTCATAGGTTTCAAGAAAACATCTACTTAATATGCTTCTTCAACCTTTGTTATAGATCGGTTGATCGAGAAAGACTATTTAACTCAGTTGTTTAATAAGTAGGTGTGGTTCATTATTGTAGGCACTTAAAGTTTGGTCGGTATATTGTAAGTCCGAAGATTATTTGATTTACTTTTCTATAAACAACATGGCAATGAATCTAAATAAAATTGCTTACGACTTGTACCTTATAACTAAGTTTTGAATATTTCATTCATACCTAAAATTTAAGTTTAAGGCAAATTAGTCCAACGATCTAATGTTTTTGAATGTACACAGAATCACTAAGGTCAATGTGTATATGGTAGATGAAAGTAAGTAAACCACTAAGCAAACTTAAATTCCAATAGAATTCCTATATCACTAGAAGTCTGCATGTTTAGTATGATTTAAACAATTACAGCAATCGCAACAGGTGATAGAAGAGTATTATAAACTGATATGAAAATGAATAAATTGGAAACGTGAAAAATTCTAACTAATTATTTAATATTGGGGTAAATTTATCGATCAGAAATCGTTTGTGGAGATCTAAGACATCAGAAAAATAAATGTAATCAAACGATATTGTGTCACTGAAATCATGAATTGATCTAGGTTAGACCATCATTGAAAACTTGGGAGAACTGGACGGCCGTTATGTCCCAGTATGAGACTCCTCACAAGTGCGATTTTAGGACAAGGAATCGAACCCTTAACTTTTAAACAACTGAACCAAGATCCAACAGTATAAAAGTTTAGTTTGAATCAATCCACGACATTGCGCAACAATTTTTCATTGTCTCCAGTGGGTAACGTTCTGACACTCAATGCGGTTGAACTCCACTGGTTACGGCTTCTGACTAGAACTCAATCGGACCCGCATTAGGCTTACTTATATGCATCAATCGAGGCACTCTGTGGATCAATGGAAACAGTGGAAAAGGACTACACAATTAATCCTAGTAAGTAAGTCAAAGCTGCAAAAAATGAATTCATTGGAAATGACGTAATAAGAATTCGTGAATATTTAGCTGACATACGTAGATAGTAAAGAACAGAAAGGGTAGAAGGAATGAATTATAACGTCTATCGAATTCTCATCCTCCCAAAGAAGGAATAAAAATGCTACAAATTTCTTTAGAACACAAGGACTAAAAAGGTTTGCTTGAAAAAGTATTGCTTCCACTAAATGCAAAAGACGAGAACAAATTATATCTAGAAAATTTGAAAGGAAACATTAAATAACTCTTGCTTCTATCTACCAAATGACCACGATGAACTAGATGTGATTAAAAGGAGTTGTATAATGATTTCTAAAGTTATTCTTAAGTCGTACAAAGACTAGGGAACCTTTTGAGGCTTGATAAATCAAGTCGATCTGTAGTCCATGAAAATACCGAAATCGATTCAATTTATCAGTGAATCAGAAAAATCGTGGACAGCTATCAGGTCGAAAAAGGTAACAACCAAAACAAATATGGAAACGATAACAGGACAAGTATCAAAAACAACAAATAAACATCAACTGAACAGGTTGCCAGTAATATGTGCAGAAATTCGAATGTATCGCTTCAATCTGAAGTTCATATTGATGATATTTCCCAGAAACTAGGTGTTCGCTAACTCATAGGTTAAGTTGTCCATCTGACCGATCGATTCACCTTTATGCACATGAGCAGCTGAAGTGGTAAAACTATGTGAATTATCTTTTATTTGAGGAACTATCACTCGTCAACTAGAAAATGATAAACAAGCACAAGCTGCATTAAAAAAAACTTTTCAATGATCTAGTTACTCTGTCACGTTGAACACCTCCAGTCACACCTCCGTTAAACTATAACCTATACCAGAGACGTTTTATACGATCAGTTCGTGTTTCAACTTTCATGTTCATTATACACGAATATTTCTTAAGAAAGGAAACACTAAACACATCCTATTTCAATCAAAATACTGTGTATAAACCCTATTTTTGTCTACATTATCGATATATTTACGACAGTACCTAACGCCTTACTGTTAGTTTACATTGTTTACCTATTATTATTTATATAATCCCTTTCCATTATTATCATTGACCGACAGATTACCTCGACTGGTTTTTTTTTTCATATACGCATATAAATTTTACCATATATTACAGTAAAGCTTAATGAATATCTGATCAATAACAATATTATTCTACTTTACATTCTGTGAATTTCAAATATTTCCGGACCAATGTTTACATAAGATTATAATAACAGAGTTGATTTGTACATTATATCTCATCTACATAAAAATACTTGATAATTTCATAAGTTTAATACTGTCATTTTTACACTTTAGTAACAAAAATTACCTCGTTGTTATGATTTTCAATGGTTTAAACAGTACACAAAGAAATATTCACTTCACATTTTACACGACATAGTGTAATGATCAGTTGATTCTAAGATTTTGCGCGAAATCCATTACCTCATTTTTCAGCCCTGGTCGGCATGTCTCTATACAATACTTTTATGCCAAATAGTAAACTAAAAAAATCCAGTATCGCGCAGTCGAGTGTACACAAACATTCATTTTGTGACTAAACAATCATTTACAACAAGTATTTTGAGACGAACAAATATACATACAATTTTGTCGATAATTCAACACCTGAGTTCCTAAGAAGAGGATTCCAATTCTATACTATCTAAAGTCCTTACTATATTTCCAGGATTTCATACAGTTAATAAGTTTTCAAGATAACTGACGCATAACAATTATAGTTATAAAACTTAAGAAAATGGATGACGAAGAAAAGTAAATCATAATCATACAGTGAAACCAATTCCTCAAACCATCCTCATATCCTTTACCACATAGAACCAACTGATAGCCTTCATCATGATAGCGTTCAACTGTGAAAGAATACAGCAGATTACGTATCTCGGATAATAACTTTAAACGACACAGTCGTATTTGTTTAGATCCGAAGGAAGTGAAAACTTTAGGGATTAAAAAAACGTAAAGGGTCTTGAGATATGACAATATTTTAGTCAGTTGGTGGTCAGCAGGCGAATAAATACTGAAAAATACCGTGATTTCAAGTGAAATTTCTAATTTATTTAAGCCCATTAGATCACATTCCAGCCCTGCTATTTTAGCAGATCTAAGATGTAATCTTACCGCATTTTACCTGTAGCTGACATGAAGAAATGATTTTTAAACCATATGTGACATTATAATTGCTTAGTTAGCTTTATAGTTGTGTTGACAAAATGACGCCACTTTAGAGCTAGAAGCTAGTTCCTACGAAACTACGAAGTTGTGATCCGCCTACAGATTACGACTTCCACGTCGATGATTAGTCAACTTGGGAACAAGGAATGCTGAACTTTCAGGCTTCCCGGTAGAGCTTTAGTGCAAATTAGTTTGAAACAACCACTAAACTCTTTCATTTTTTATAAAATTATTGTTTCAATGAATACGTAATATTTAACACTAACAGCTTTCGCTCTTACCATGTTCTTTGATGATACAGCCACAGCCATGGAAAAAACCACGATAATGTGGATTTTTAGATGTTTGATCATTAATAAATTTCACTTTGATGGTTTCCATCGGAGTAACTACCATTATAGCTTCACAAACCCCTGCGCCTATAAGTAATAATTATGTATAAAAAAGAGTGTAAGATATGTGGTATAAATTCGGATAGCACTACAAAATCCACTTATCCAATAAAAATTTAGATTTTTACCATCATTATTTTACAATGCTGATGTTTTATTGTAAAATATTTTTGATTGAGATCCATTTATCCTCCTCACAGGTAGATCTTGGACTCTTCCCTTTAAGACATTTGGCACAATCCTATTTAGCGACTGGAAAATAAGTTTTATGGGAGTTGCATCTCTCTCATCCAAGTTATTTTATATTCATCAAATAGGTGTTGGGACAATGCTGTCATTCACTTGGTTAATCTTTAATATACCCAACTGATCTTATAATCAGAATAAATCTGAGTTAGAAGCAGATTATTCAAAAGAATTTCCACAGTCCATATTATTTCCTTAAAGACTTAACTATTAGATGTCTGTAGATTACATGACACTGTGAACAAGTTTAGTGGATAAATAAATAAGTCAAATTGTACCTCTAAATGAACTATCAATTTATTTTTTGCTTCTTATAGTATAAAACAACTATCAAGTTATTAGGGTTCAGTAAGAAGTACATAAAAGAGCTACAAGTCAAGATGTAGATATCAATTACTGTGAACAGTGGCCACGGTTTATTTAAAGATTTTCAGTATTTGTAAGATAACCAGACCGAGTTCAAAATGTAATAAAGGATAAATCTATTTTGCATCAAGAAATTTCGAACTGTGTTGTCTCACACCTGAAAATCTCTACATATCACTTTTATGTAAGTATTTAAATAAGTTGTTACTTTTATATGTTTATCCCTGGTTAAGAAACCCAACCATCACATTTCTTTCATATATTTGAACCCTAGAAAGTATGTGTAGCCAGTCTTTTTATAACTGAATGGAGCTAAGTTTTGGAGTTGTCATTTACACTGAAAACTATGGGTTATGGACTAGTAAATCTAATAAACTATGTTTATTCTATAGAATATATTTTCGTAACTGTTAAATTATTTTGAATATGTTGGTGATAAATTAAATCAATAGATTTGTGGCCGAACAAAACGGAATAGTGACAAAAACGGTAAGTAATAATGGTAAGCAATAATGAAGCAGAATAATGGCAATATCTGATACAAACTTTGAAAGAACTGTACTTCAATAACAAGTCAATCCTTGTTTTGACGAAAGCACTGAAGTGGCCTGGTAAGGCCGAAATATGAAGCAAGTTCACTCTCTCTCGAAATGCCGTCGTTTGACCACACGTTTATAGCTATCATCAGGAAGTTTATGGGAGTCCTTCAACAGGGATTCGATTAGGAAACTGTAGCACCACAATGACTCTGTTGATAGCGATGATGAAGGATTCATGAAATGTTTTCTCGTCTAATTTCACATCAAAATACTTAGGATAACCCTATTAAGCGACGATGGTAATAAAAGCCAAATATGCAATGCTTTGGAATAATTCTATTTCAGGAGTTCATATGCAAGCTTATAGACAGTAAACATGAACAGATGAATGTAGCGGGATCTCTGACTACTGCTAGCCAAAAGACAATTAGTCAAGGATAGCCGTTTTTTTATCAAATAAAGAATATGCCAAATACAGATGAATAGATAAGCAACCAACCATCCTATAGATAAACATTGGCATCCGTACACACACGAATATTGAAAAAGAGGATGAGAAAGAAAGAATATAGCAGTCGTCTGTTGAACAGAAAATATTTCGAGTTTTTGATCAAAAAGGATTAAAATGACATTGACACTTACCTAAACCACATAAAAGTTTTCTTCCAGCTGTAAGGGTTCCATCTGGAGATAAATTATGACGTTTAAACTCTTCAAATGCTCCAAATCTAACAAGCAAACGTAATAAAGTATATCATAAAACGTAGCACTCAAGACTTAATGTAAGCCGATTCTTCAGAGTAAATAAATAACTGACATTAAACTTGTGTTAACCCAATTATCGGTTATTTATGTACTCTGAAGAAGTGGCTTATATTAAGTTACAAAACGCCAGAAATACAATTTTTCTACTCATTGGAATATAATAAAAATATATATATTTATCATTAACTCCCTACTCAACGCTCAATTTATTTGAAACTACCACGTCCAACCTTGGTATTAATACGTGTAACACTCAAATTGAATTTTTTTCTTAGATGAATAGATGAAAACGTTATTTATTTTGCTATTATTATGATAAGTTATGCTTATGAAAATTAATCAATTCTAGATAACAAACTAAAATATGGACTCATAAAAAGTAAATAAAATTGTGTATTTAGATTAGTTAGGAAATAATTCTGAAATTAAACGATAAAACCGTTTAGCTTATAAGGTAACGTTGGACAAAAAAACACGTTAGCATGATTCATTACTATGCATCATGAAAATTTAACTAACTTTCTAGAATATGATAAATCTGTTAGCTCTGTATATTAAATGAATGTGAATATTCATATATGTAATCTAAATAAGTAGATAATGATTATATGAAACCTGCTTGAGCATCTGGGCTACCTGTTCCTGCCATCTAGATATTTCAACAAGTTATCTATAGTTGTTTGTTTTAATATATCATTATGTTTATTAATCGCATAACCTATTCTGCTGCGTTTCTGAAAAGTGTACAACCTTTCGTTGTCAAAGTTACAAAAAACTCAATAAGAGACAATATGGTTGCTGGCAATGTACAACGAAAAGAGTGTACATTATTCAGTTGTTCATTCACTGAAGTGCTAACATCTAACTGGCGATTCCTCAATATTTATCGCCAGGACCGACCAAGAAGAAAGAAACGGAAACTTGTTGAAATACTTTGCGCTGAGAATTCTATATTGTACCAAAATTATAATATTGAATAAAGCTAATAATAATAATAATAATTTTGTAAGATGATGTAAATTAAGATTAGTTAAGGTTAGAAATTCAATGATTAGAAATTAGTGATACATATTTATTGTTTTGATAATCATGTTTAAATTCCACATCAATTCGATTGTTTTTTCTTCATTTCTAATTGTTAACTTCCTGCCATATCAAAATTAATCATATTTACTTATACAGTCTATATCTGACATCGTTTGTTTGTAGACATTTAATGCTTTCAATTTGATGTTTGACAATATCGACTGTATTTTTAAAACAATTTTGTTTTTTTTCGCTTGAAACGTTTTGAACACAACATCGATCTTCTAAAAGACACCTTGTTTGAAGATATATATCTTCCAAGTCGAAAACAGTTGCCCTGCATAACAGTGCTGACAAAATACTTTAGAAGAATGGACAATGAACATTGATGACAAATACAGCTCACTACAATTAGCTTATGAGATAAATCATTTTTAATAGTAAAGGACTTCCAGAAGATTATTCAATCAACTAACATTTACATGAAATAATCTATAGATTTTTGATTAAGAGGTTGACACTGTTGGTATATCAAATGTTAATACTGAGAATATGTCACATCTTTGACCTTACGTCTCTCTTCAACTTGCTTACTTTCAACTTTAAATGCCTCATATGTTAACAGACTCACCTGACAGCCGACTTGGGAACAGAGCCGTATAGGAGAACAGGTAAACCTCGATACAAACCACGAAAACCATAAGATCCTACTGTCTTCTTTACACAGTCGATGGGTCCCGAATATTGTCTGGCACTACCCATACGTTCGTCAAGTTGTAATTGTGTCTTAACATATTCAGTCGGGAAAGTGATGCAAATCTCAATTGCTCCAGTGACTCCACCTGTGATAAAATTAGTAGACTAATAAACACTCACGAACCTGCTATGGCTCCTTTTACCGTTTGTTCAATAAGAGTTGATTTATGAGGTCCTTGACTTTCATGAACCATGCCAGAATAACTAAAAAACAATACCATACATTAAAAAACATGGTAGCTTTTTTGAAACCAAACACTTATTCAAAACAGTTTCCTATCTCAACAAAACCATCGAGGCCTGTAAAATTTCTTGATAAAGATTACATGCCTCAAGAGAGCATATACTGCAGTACTAATTATTGCCAGTAAGAGCAGGTTTCTTTGATAACATTTTGCAAGAAAGCATTGAAGTTATGTGGGGCTCAACCACGCACCAGAAGAGTTCGCTCACTAAGCGTTTATTATTGCTACCAAGCAAATATCTTTTGTTTTGGAAAATAACAATAAATCCTAAGCAAAGTTTTACGTATATTTTTATATCGCACTGCGAATATCACACATCTATGGACTTTCTTCTTAGAAACATGAAACCATATTTCGAGATCTCGTTATATTAAATATGAAGACGTTTCAAACTTATCACGTCCCGAAACAATCACTTTATACAGCAAATTCAATGGTGTTTCCTTTTTAAATACGTTACAGTTAATGACAAACCACAATGAAATATAATATTGTATAAACAGATTTCAAATCCACCCTAGGTCAATGTATGGTTACTATATGTTCAAAGTACGAGTAAAGAATGATAATTGAGGATAGCATTAGCAACTTCGGCTTGAAAAGAACAGATTAGCCAAAAAGCGCTTACTAAAGAAAACTATTTAAACTATTTATCCACTGCTCTGGAAGTTGAAGTTTCTAAATATGGAAGAGTTATGACGCCCAGACTCACTAGAAGTCACCGGTTCGATGTCTCTTCTGATAACCGGGGGAGTAATTAACATATAAGCGTGGAATGTCAGAACAATTTACTAAACCAGGAGAATCTTTCAGGTAACCTCACAAATGAGAAGATACAACTAACTCATATCTAGTCTTCTTCGAGACTATGGAATAACTGAGAAAAGACATATACGAAGGACTCAATTACAAAGTTGTGGATATGGGGCAGCTCACAGCTGCGTTTGAAGTGAAGAGTAGGGTCTTAAAAAGCTATCTACTCTCGCATTTTCTAATACTGTTAGCGACTAATTGGATTATGAGGAACTTAATAACTTGGGAGAAGCATATTTATAAAAACAATCATGAATATAAAATAACTACTTCATTCAAAATTGAACTTAATTTGTATTATTTAAAGAACATGTTCAACACTCTTAAAGGTGCAAGCAAAACTCCAATAACTTTAAATGATTTTCAACAAATTATAAAGTCAAAAGATGGTTGATACAAGGCATTAAGAATGGGATGAAAATTTACATAATATCGATCCCAGCAACATCAAGGGATCACATTCACATAAAACATCCAAAAAACAGAGCTTCAAACTGCGAGGTCAGAAAACGTACATTTTCAGAAACAGCGACGTAGAATTTTAAAATATAGAAATATATTCCTAGATCAAAGAAATCACTAAGAACTCGCTGATAATAAGTGAAAACCTACTGATCACTAGTTATCTGAATTCCCAAGCTCAATCTCAAATCATCAAGTAAACAATCAGCTCAGGAGAAAACCAGAGAAAAGATTTTTTAGGATAATATGTGGTGCAGATAGTAGTGTAAAAAGTCTATCGTATCAAAATAAATGCCATCACTAAATAAGGCGATAGAAGTATTTAAAACCTAATGAAAATCTAAGATATTTCAATGTCACTTTTCTGTCGTTCGAAGATTACATGTAATTTATTCTCATCTGGAATAGTTTCTGAAGACGTACATTCAAAATAGTAATAGATCATATACTTCCTAAGACACACAATATCATCATTTAAAATTCAAAAGCATTTCGATTCATTTTAGTAACAGTAATATACGAGAAAGCTTGAGAAGAATTTCTTTCGGTGCAAAAGTTTTAACTGCCACCACGACCTTGAGCTCAAATCGTTAGAAAGATGAAAGTACAGCTAAAATATTACGAAGTAACAAAATATATAACATCCAATATTAACGTGTCAAATGCATTCAAAACTAAATGATTCTTTTTGAATTTTGTCAACCTGAGCAATTTCAAACCAAAGTATCCTTCAGTCTCTGACGAAAATGATATGGGCACTAGATTGCTAAGGCCAGAGACAGATTACTAAGCGCTTTGCTACTCTGAGATGCCAAAGGGCATTAACTGACTTTTGGGTGGATGGAATTTTAAAAACTCGGCAACCGATAGTCCTGAGAGTTTTCAAAAAGATACTTGCTGGTGGGTGATCTTATCCGCAACGCAACCAATGTAAACTTAATGTATCGCACACTGTCATTTGTGCGTTCAAGTAACCACATATTTTGTCATTTCATAATGTATTTTTAATTAAATAACTAGATTATGTAGTTAATTTTTCTCTGTTTTTAATTTTTATTTGCCACGTCTGACTGCGTTACACTGTACGTCCATTGCACGCTGAGATGATATCTCAAGTCATAGTGATTTTATTCACATAGTTGATTGTTTCCAGATAGACTGTCAGTGCATGATTTTACTGAAGAAAGGTTTGTTGTACTGTAAACTGTGTTTCTATGATCAACTTCCTATTGTCTTCTGTATGAATTCATACTGAATACTGCTTTAAAGCAGTATATATGTATCCTTCTTTTTTTCTTAGGTAAGTTCAACTGGCCTATATTTCGTGTTTTGATTTTATCGGCTTAATTATGTCCATTTACCTACTATGAGCAACATGTCTTTGTAAGTGAAACAATAACTATGACACTTGCTTAGTTTAGTGTTCTTGGTTGTCGTATAATTCAGTTTAGTTGAAAGAATTATGATATACTTAAGTATAGTGCTTGAAGTCTGTAACGAAACAGATCAGTTTAGTAAGTAGAGTTGCCTGTTTCTAATGTGTATACGGATTCAGATCAGTCCGATTAAAAATAGGAAAAACCGTGCCTTTGATGCTGTTGCTATCATACATTATAAGATAGCGATAAGTATGTTTGGTGTTTATTTCTAAACTGTACATCTATCACTGACCATATTTCATGATCACTGTCATTAAACAATTTCCCCATCAATAACATCGGTAGCAAGATAGCTAAGTGTCTGAGCTTTTAGTTGCCCGCAAAACAGCAGTATACAGTCTTAGAAGATGAATGTTCTGTGTCTCAATTAAATACAGCTGGCTGTGGACAAATGTTAAAAATCTTTTGGACAACTGGGACTTTTAGTTTATCATACACTTACTCTGCTTGTATGTTTTCCTGTTAAACTAGACGCAGATGCATGGGAATACTTAAATGGGAGCAAAATAATAAAAAGATTGCAATACGGTACTAAGCCCATGTTATGCTTTGCGCAAGTAATAGTAGCTGACCTTATCTAATATTCATGAACTCAAGGTAAATCACAACTGCATAAATTCTTTGCTAAAAAACATATGATTTGGTTATTTATATATTCCACATTTCTGACTAAATTCATCACCATTTTTTCATTTAGAATGCAACGGGAGTGAGTCTTCACAGATCATAAGAACTGTTTCACCCTTAGAACTATGGCCCTATGGAACTGTTTACGGGAGATCCAACGAACAGCAGATTATAAAAAGGATGCTGGACGTCCATTTTAGTCTCACAACCACTTCCAGTATTTTTTGACTTCTTTTACTCTTTCGTTTGGAAAAATACAACGAAAACTACAGCTTAACATTACCAATACAACTTTTAAACTGGAACTTGGTTTAAACCTTTGTTTGCTATTTCATTCTTAATGAAAGTTCTTGAATAAATTTCTGAATCTAATGCTACTTTGTTTTATCTACTTAATCGTTGCAAGAAACTTGTGATAAGCGAGCCTCTCAGCACCTAGTTCATGTGTTCAAATGGTTGTGGACTGAATAGAAGAAACTTTCGCTTAACAGGCTTCCGTGTCTAGTAGCAGGGGATCACCAATACCTCAAGGCAGAAAACTAGGTATGTTAACAATAAAAGAGGAGAAATAAATTGATAAATCATAGTATGATACTATACTTAGTCCTTAAGAATAAACCCAGTTGCCCCTTAAAGGACTCCTGCGAAGTCGCTTGGACTAGCTCGGCCGGCAGAAAATCCCAGCATTTCACAACTCTTAAGGAGGAGAAGTTGTGCCTACAGTCCGTTTTGCTATGTTGTGTCTCTAGTTTCTGGGTGTTACCCCTTAGGTTAGTGTTGGAACTAAGCTTAATTAGGTGTCTTAGGGGATGTCCAGAAGTGTTAAGGTTATTGTAAGCCATTAGGTCACCTCTAAGACGTCTATACTGTAATGAGTAGAGGTTAAGTGATTTGGTGCATATCCTTGGGAGACCTACAGACTCGGGTCCTCTCGTAGCTTATTCTAACCACCATGGGTTGTCACACCAGCTGATGGATGGACATGCGTTACACATCCTAGCCGTACCTGCGTATTATCTTATAGCTTCTATTTCAAATGCCATATGACAAGCAAGCAATGCCCCTACCCGCACTTATGGAACACTAGTAACTCAAATGCACCCCGTATGGTACCTTACACTGGTTTACGCACTCGCTTAGCTCTTTAGTGAAAATCCCATGAGCCCCCCTACCTCCATCAAAACAAATAAGTCTGTATTTGCAGCATATAGCAATTTTATTATTCAAAAGTAAGATATAACAGTTAGAATTGGAGTAAAATGGCAGTATACAGCAGATGCACGTGGTACATGTCTTTATCGATTAACTGAAATAGAGAATATGGATATTAGATTAACAGCCTTATTTAGAAAGACTAGTGTCTAATTTGAACTTACTGCGTGAGAAAGTTATACTGGAACTACGAATGCTGTAGAAATAGTTTCTCGGGGCGTACGAAGCACCCAGACTGTAAGACAGTTGTCCAAAAATAATTCAAATATGGAGGTGAAAATTTGCAGGTACTTTTCATCGTGAGGGTGAACATATTAGGTACCAGTTGAGATCATACCGTAAGAAAACGCATATTTGCGAGTGGTGAAATACGATCTATAAAAAAGTGAGCTTAATAACAGTTAATTACCTTTTTACTCCCTGATCATGACCCTTCGGCTACCTTTTATGGCCAAAACAGCAAACATACACTACACACTGGTAGCAGATTTCCGGCTTTTCAATGTTAAGCTTGCTTTAACGCACTGAGTAATGAGTACACCCCCCTCTATTACTGTTATATGGCATAATTTTCATAAAAAACCCTCTGCAATAGATTGGTAGCATCTGTGACTTCATCTATAGTTGTCGGAAGTCTGGGTCCTTTCGAAATCAGTACCGATATACCCTACTGCTGGGCACTCTGTATTAGTTTGACTCGTTGGTGGAATAGTGTTGTCCATAATACTAAAGAAAATTAAAAAACGCAGATTGTTTCCTTTCATTTTGCCGATAACATCATAAAGGACAGTTAGGAACGAACATGCGAACAGTTCGAGTCACAGGCGGCAGCAACAATTATTTTAGCTAAATAAAAACGAACTTCGGGTTCGGACATCTAGAAAAGAAGGTAAAACATAACCGATTGTTGCTTGAAAACGTAAGGTCTTATGTTAGTACTAGCCAGAATAGCTGAATAAATACATTAACTTCATTAGCAGCAGATAAAACCCAGAAAACAAAGCAAAATCAGGAAAAACTTTGCTCCAACGTTCAGAGTATTACACTAGCTTTTGAATTTTAGCACACTGAAACATCAAATTCCGTAGCTACACAAAAGAAATAGCTGAAAGAAGCACAGAACGAAGAAAGCCGGCCGCCATTGCTTACGAAGATGGCGGATGTAATAATTCCCGCCTCATTCTGATTGGTTGCTAAGCTGAAGGGCACATTTACGAAATTGAGTTGCGTTTAATTGCAGCCTTGCTGGTTAATTTGCAACACTAGTGAATAATACGATTGCTCCATAAGGTTCATCCATGTAATATACACTTCGATATCCTTCACTGCTCTCCGATCGATACTTTTGTCAATCCTTAAACTTTGTAGGATGGTAAGGCTTTACTCCACGGCCAAGTACACTGTCTAACCGTAGTATTATCATAAATGATTTTCTTCCAGTATAATGTTTCACTAATGTCTATATTGAATATGATTTCAAAGTGATCAACGCCATATATATTATTATATGAGAATGAATGACCTCATCTATAAGTTAGCTATTCGACAACAGGTTATGAAAAAGGATGGACAAGAGTTTCGATGAGGAAAAAAGTCTCAAATAGCATTGAATGATCTTTAGTAACCTTATATTCAATGATAAAACAGCTTTTATAAACGGATAGTTTATGGAAAATACAACAATAATATTGCAAAGCGTCAACAGTTTTTACATGGTTGGCAAGCCCATTAGGACCTACTACAAACTATACTATCGGAAATTGAAAAGATTCGTTCTGTGGTATTTAAACAGCCTATTTTCTGATATGTTGATTGACCCCAAAATTTCATTGACTTTGTTTAATCTAGCTTTCACTGTTGTAGCAGAACTTACCTGTTCTTCCCATAGCTTGAGGCCTTTCAGTGATAAGCTTCGAAGGAAAACAACTGATTTATTGAGAGTAGCAGTTATCTCAAAGCCATAGCAAGAATTAGTAATTAAGTCACTAGCTTCTAATTTGTGATTCAAAATAAAACTTTAAGCGACATAAAAAATAAGGCTTGACTAACCTAAGTTTTTATTCGAGTTGCAGTATATGGAGTTGGTCGAGTTTAAGGAGGTAGATTCCTTGGAAACTTATTTTCTTACTTTCCTTCTTTAATTTTAGCTCAATATTCTTCTCAATGACATAAAATCTGTATTTTTAAAAATGGCAAGTATTATGCTAACGTTTTTGAGACTTCTATATTGTTGTATTTTTGAAGAAATCAAAAACCGTTTCTCTACAAAATGTATGCACCTATAAGCAGCTTTTGAATAGTAAAAAATAATAAAACGTTTCG